GCAGTCTATGGCAACTAAATATGATTCGTTCAGATGTCATGGGCGTATACTGTGCTGCACATGCACATGCCATGTGATGAACAAACCTTGCTAATGACCGTTTCCATAGATTTCTACTTGTGGAGATATAACGGTCTCGTCCTGCTTTGTGCACGAATCAACCAAGAACGTTCTTTTTGGAGGTGATATCTGACCATTTAAGAGGACATTATTTCCACAGATAAGACAAGGTTTTCAAGAAACCAGCATATGACCAATAATCACTAATTGCAACCAGCGATGCGAGAAGGTCATCGCACCGGCGTCGAAGTCAAGGAAATTGTCGTCTGTTTATGACGTAACTATGATGTGCAATAATCACGAAACTACTCGACACAGGTGTAGTAAGCCGAAAATTACGCCGTGACCACGGCTGGAAGCAGGTGACGGGACCAGCATCGTCATTCGGTTGGAAATTTTCTAGACCTGACGAATTGTCAAAAACAGTGGCGCTCAGGAATTCTACGACAGCGAGCAGAAACGAACTCTATATCACTGCCAACTGGAACATTAACAAAAGATCCAACGATTCAGCACGGAAATGGGGGATTGATAAGCTCGAGTAGAACAGTAATATATTAGTTTCTACCTACTCTTCTACTGCGCTTCAACCTGCTCGGAGGATCGAAGTGTGGCTTGTGTTATGTTTGATAGAAATAACCGTCGGTATTCCAAGAATTAAAAGTCGAAGAAGTAGGGCACCTTGAGTCGATCCTCCAAACCAGACGATAAAATTCTGCTCTAATATCCACTCTCCTAATAAGGTAGTGCCCATGAATCAATGCTCGTCCATTGCAACATTCATACGGGACAAAAGCCTCACTCATTTTCGGAAGTCCCCTCCCCCAATCCTCCACAACAGTCCCACTGCCCCAAAACAAATCTCGAGCCAAGTGGTTGCGCTACCGTTGCAGCCGATGATTCCTCATGCGTTCAACACCCCAAATATTACATTACCAGTGATCTATCATTAGAAGCACAAAAGTTAAGCCACATTTCCGCAACGCAGAGTACCATTTCATGCCTTCGCAGGGAATGACGGAAAAACTCATGGTTTGTACCAAAAATCATTTAATGCTGAGTAGGTGACATTTTAAGAAGAAAACAACTGAGAAAGGAAAAATGATTGAGTGCTTTTCACTATGCAACCCCAAAATGCCAAAAATCACGCCTGTTGAAGATCATCTAAAGAACTCATTCCCTTGCACTGATAATACATATCACATACACCTAAAGACTCAAACTGGAGCGAGATTTTTGGGCATTGTGGGGTCGTAATACATGAACAGTGCCAATGATCGTTGCTTCTAATTGATAACCACTACGCCACTTGGCTCTGTTGTTGTTGACTCCCTCGGTGCGAATCTGATGGGTACTTCTCTTTTCAGGGTATGCAGACCCGTTTTGGGTGTTTCTATAACAAGTCGTCCAAATTCAGTGAGGTTTGTTTCGACAGCATCCAAATCGGCATCGTCTGGTATTGTCCAACGGCTCATAAAAGATCTGAAACTTTGAATTCTGTTGGAAGATGTTGCGCTCATTGCCAGGTGCAAGTCGGAAGTGTAGAATATGTAGTTGGAAGGGGGAAGAAGTGGACGCCAATAAGATATTATAAAATTCAAATTAGCTATTGCAATACATGATATTATGTCTGGTCAGTTGTGAAATATGGGCGTAGGTAGTGCGCTGCTGCGAAACATAGTCCAGCGGAAAACCCGTGCACGGCGGAGATCCCCTAAACTCGCTGCCCCTGCGGCCAGTATATGCTTTATTCATCACAGCAGAATCAGATCAGCTCATGGGTCGGAGTCCGACTTCGAGAATCCAGTGATTCGCTAGCAGAGAATCGAGAACTGTCTACTAGCGAATCGCTGGATTCACCAAGTCCGAAACCGGCCATATGTGGACCACTGGCAAAAGCATAAGAAGCAAAACAAAAAGAGAAACTAGGTGCATGAACATTTCCATGAAGCTGTAGCTGCGCGTTGGATGAAGCACTCACTATGCGTGAGCGATTGCAACGTACACACGAGTGAGAACATCACAGGCTCGTCCGCTGATAGCAAAGAGAAGAGGGGTGGGGGACAACAAAATTACTGAGAAACAAAGGACTACATTTGCGTCCAACAGCATCCATCGAAAGAGAATCAGTTGTCGTCGCTGCTTCAAAGTGGTTACAAAGTATGTAATTAAACGATTTCGAAGTTACAGCCCAATCGCCCTCTACATGCACTCCACTAACTTTCCGTTTAAGTCAGAGATCCACAGAACACTGAAAGAATACGGCCGAGCAGAATTCCGAAGTAGATTTAGCACGATCGCCCACATCCACACGAGTAAAAGACTCACTGATAAGTGCTATGTCTAACGTCAATCAACTTCAGAGAAGCGCTCTACTTTGTGGAAACAAAACAAACGATCATGCAACGGCTGGGCAACATGGTAACTACTACACATAGTATTCCGCAAGCTTTAACTGCAAGTATGAGTTTGAGGCTCCACGACAACTTTACGATCAAATACGCAGCCGCAACTGAAAACAACATGTGAGCGGTTAAACATCTCGCCCAACTTTCCAGTTTCGCCACCAGACCAGAAATCGTCACACGTCGCGAGGTAAGCAAGGAAACTGAGGTCGGTAAGATAACCATCACACTGGCAATTCTGGTCGTTTTCGACTGTGCGAGTGCAGAAGAACGGTTGCAGCTGAACCTAGCGAAGGCGATGTTCATGAAAAACGGACTGCTTCCTAATGTCCCTTCACGCTCAGTGCGAGAGCGCACATGCTCGAAATGTCTACGCTGTGTGCAAGCTAGGTCGAGCAACATGTATACGAACTTATTTAGAGAAGCGGTTACATATCCTTCTATTATATAAAGCGCTAACTTTGTGTGTCGGTTTGTGTATCTGTGTGTGTGTGTGTGTGCGTGTGTGTGTGTATGTATGTATGTGTGTCCGTCCGCAAAATGAAGTGAGTGAGAAGGAAGCTCATGGGATAACAAACCGCTAACAAATCGGGTAGCTTACAGGATTTGAGATATCAATGTTTTGTAGCAGGATAGTTGTGATAACACTCTTAGGGCTATATAAACACCTGCTTAGCACACTTCCGTTCATTCCACATGGTGCTGCAGTGGCAGCTGGAGGGCAGTGGAGAGAGGAAGGGAGGATGAGGAAGGGAAGCGAAAAATCTACCGTCATATCATGATTGTGTCCCTTCTACTGTATGAAACACCATTGTGTTGCATACGCGTCACTTCCAGGGTGTTGGTGTCACAGGAGGAAGGGACCATAGCGGAGGATAGAAAGCTTGCGCAGGAAAGGAAGGTCCCGGCGGTTGACGGGGGACTAATCTGGTTTATATAAAAAACATCTGACTCATCACGCCAATCTATTCGATTCCGCAGTCTTCCTTCGCTTCGGACGCCTCAAAAGCTTGTACTATACATAGGCAGGACTAACATGCGATCGCACTACTTTGTAGATATACAGATGCATGGAGTTTCACGAAGTTCGAAAACACATGCGGAATCCTTCACTCTTTCCTATTCAAGGTAAGGAACGCTGCCGCCCGCACTTAGCAGACTCAGATAAGGAAGATGGTTCGCTAATGTAAGTGGAAAGAACCCGCTCGAATATTTTAACACCCGACTAAAGGTAAAACCAGATCGGGCACCTTGGCCGAAGTTGACCCAAAACAAAAACGGTCCCCCTTTGACTGTCTAGCATGCTCGTTTCAAGTGGAATGGAATACTCTCACCTCTGCACATAACCAATGCCATCTTGTTTTTCTTGATTCCTTCAATAAATGAGCTCTCGCCCATTGATGTGAAACGCGTAGTTCCTCAGGTTTGAAATGCGAGACATCTACAGAGACAGAGAACTTCGTATCATTGTTGATCATCTGTAAATACCGTGTCAAACTCTGTTCAGACATTCAGCCGTGTTTTAGCTGGGTAACTCTGATTCCCTAAAGGCAGTGATTCAAACCCTCAGACTCTTCTCTGAAGCGATGCATACCCACATTTTTGTCCTCTTCTGACATGACGCGCTGCTTGCCTCTTCTTCGCTCCAACAGGAGAGTATACGATTCCCAAGAGTTCGAACACAGTTCTCAATAGCCTTTCCGGTCTCCATCTGAACGTCTATCAATGATCTTTCTATCGTAATGCACTCACTCAGTAGCATTCCTATACGTTTAGTTTTATTTACTTGATGCCGCCGCACCTAGCCGACTGTCGATTTCAGTCACAATGAGTGAAACTCTGGCACCTTCCATCTCGCCCATAGTTACACCTGCCAGTCACTTGGCAAACGAGCCAACTCGTACCATCATCCTCTAAGTTGGTGGGTCGTCAGCCTTTCCCATAGACCAATCCTTCGGAATTCCCCAGCACCGACGACCCCATCCCTTCCTAGGAAATTCCCAAATACCAACACCCCCATTCAAAATTACAAAAACACTCCCGCGCTCATGTCCTTAGGGGGGACATTCTGAACAGGGCAATTCAAAAACCGCTGGTAGGTGACACTACGACTAACCCAGGACTGGGAATAAACACAAGGGAGAATAATGGTTGCCCACAATTTCTTTCCCTTCCCTAAAGCTTAGTCCTGAGTTTTATCAGTGGCCCACCCACTCCAACTCCAACTCCCCCCGAAGGACATGAGCGCCCGACCCCCATCACCGTAATGAGGGTTTCCCAGCCTATGGTATTGTGCCGCTAGCGGTTGATATGCAGCACACTTTGCTGTGGCCGACTAAGCCTTGAACCATGATGGACTACGGACTTTAGGGAAATTATATCACTGGTTGTGACTCGTGGTGCCTAGTCTGAACTAGCTATCTATAATACAAATGACTATTTTTCGAGGAATCAAAGAGTAGAAATCAAAGAGTAGAAATACATTGCAGTGAAAAGCGTCACAATAGGATTACTAGCGGTCGAGGAACACCCTGATGAAGTTAAAAAATAACCTCAACAAGAAAAGCTGGAAAAACGTACTTATCAAGATGAGGGAAGGCGGGAATGGGAAGAGTCACGACCCGTCAATCAAATGAATAAAGCCTACTCCGACCAGTGGCTCACGTATGCAGCAACGAAGAGCTGAAGTTGATTCATGCCATAGCAGCAAGTTTAAACATGTTCCGCACAGGATGAGGCTTGTTTGAAGAAAATGGGTAAGGCAACGTTCAGCGTTGGCGATCGTACATACGATTGGGCGAGTAGCCAATGATTCGAAAAAGATACATATTGATCAGTCGACTGGGCGACAAGAAGATATACGTATCGATTCATTGTTCCGCCCACTGAGCGATCTCCTAATCGCCCTCTCGCCTAATCGATAACTATCCCTTTCCTCATAGACTAATCGCCTAATCGCCGACCATGGCACGTACGATCGCGAACTCTGGATCCCAAAGTATCTCCATTTCTGTCATTGCTTCTCAGCTTCTCACTCTCGTTCACTTTTTCCTTCCTCTCGTACACAATAGTTTATGCGATCAAAACTAGCGCATACACCAGCGGTCAAGAGCTCCTCACTAACTTGCCCAAGTTTCTTATGTGTTGGTCCTTCAATTTTTTTGTTTATTTGAGTTATATCCAGAAAATTTCGGATCTAGAAATTAGAACAAAGACTCATTTAGGCTTCACTTTCTGAACAAAGTCACGCTGAGAAAACCGTTTTGGTGACCACCTTGGGCCGCCACTTCACATACTACAAGAACCGATTCTTACCATTTGCCATGAACCAGTACTAAAAGTGAACAGAGAGCGGTCGGCGATTTGTCATCATGCAACCGTGCCAACAGCCAATCCAGAGTATCGGCCCATAACACATATGCATCTACCACCATAACTGACAGTTCCGGAGTAGCTAAAAATGTAACCACTCAAGCGGCCTACCTACAAAAGATTGCTACATTCCCCCTCTTGCTGTACAAGCGTAGAATCACCGACACACCAAAGGACACTAAGATCTCAAAGACGTATAGTTGTACTGAGATTCGATTAGTCAAAACAATTTGAGCAATCCAACCACTGCGAAGGAAGAGCCACACCGATACTAGTTTATTTAGTGGCGAGGAAAGTCATCTTCTGGCAGCCTGTACCGATAGGAAATGCATTGATCAGTACTGATGGAACTCAGTTTTTATGTATATGTTCATCAGAAGAATAAAGGCTCAACAATAAGAACCAAAAATCTCATGACGCCTCATTTATATCAACAGAAACGCGACCACCAAAGCTGAATGTCAATCTTCAAGCAAATAAAGACAGATTTCTAGACGGCACCGATCGCGCGGACCACTCCGATTGAACTCGGTCTATAAGTACACGCAGAAAAAGGTAATAAGTTAGTAAGAGAGTAAAAATGTAATAAAAGCATCAATGGTTCTATGTTGTCACGGATAACCTACAGAATATCCCTCTCGAACCGACACACAAAAACCGCACTCGCCTCTAAAAAAAAGCCAGAAATAATGGTCTATCGAACAGCACAAAAATTCCAAATATAAAACCAAGCAACTGACTGAGTCATGCGCTAATAATTTCGCTATCAAATGTAGAACTGTCGCCTTTGCAATTCCGCGAAGCGTCTATCGCACCACGGCACATCCATTGTGTGCTAAAGGCAGTGCCAAAGTTTTTGAATTGCCAGCTTGAAACGGATGAGCTGTAGGGGTGCGTGTACTCGGCGAGCATGCAGTCATGTGTTTACCTTTGAGAGGAGCACCTGGCTGCAAATGCACTGAGTAACATCGCCGAAACTTACCTGCCGTAGGTACACGCGTTACGAAACATTGGTCACCGAGTGGAGGAAAAGTAATAGAGTGGGCAAAAAAAATCACAGCAAAAAAGGAAAATAAGCTCCGCATAATATCAGGCCTGAATGAGATTTCACAAAATATGAGGGAAAGGCAACGATCAAGAGAAGAAACAGGGTTTAACGCGTCGTCAGAATCGAGACTGATGAAAGCGGTTAATAGAAAATTTGGAATGTTGCATTACGCTGAGATGATGTGAGAATTCGTTGCTGAACAATACTTGTGCTTCAAGTTGGCGAAATCAAGCCCATCTTCAACATCTCATCTTCAAGATCCCGCAAATTCCGTTCCAACATTTCCACTTCTTCCAAACGCCCAGCCGTCGCCGCTTGCGCTAGGTATCTGCAAAAAGAACATGGACAGTTTTTTCGAAACGGTTTCTTGGATGTTGTGGAGGTCATATTTGGAACGCAGAACCATGGTTCATTTTTCCCTGAACGTCCCCCGCAAAGTCAAAAACAGCGGCGAAGTGGTCTAAAGTTCGATCCTCCGTGGTGACAAATTTTTGCAATTTATGTTGACGTCATCAAATCGCCGCAAAACGCGACAATGACATCGATTCTCGACGATTGCGCCATTTGGCGACAACCTGGCGGCGCCAAACTATATGATCTGAAGGAATGACAGGAAAACACATACCCCTTTATTATGTCTCTTTGTTCAACATAGGATGCATTCTATCCTCTTCCATGAAGGGATTATAGCTTCTGAAAATTCATCGAATTAATTTGTACGATTGAAATACGATAAGCATGAATCAAAAGGATGAGATTTCCGACGCAGTTGGTTCAAGGTGTGTCGCTCCCGCGAATGAGGCTTCTTGTTATTAACATTACCTAGTCAGTGGCTAAGTAAAATACCAATCAAGAAACGAAACCTAGTTCTGCTGTGGCGTCCAACCATCTGCGGCTTGTTTTCTCGTACGTTCATGAACAACACTGACAGGTGATCGATCTTTCAGAGCCACGGAAGGAAGAGAAGAGGAAGCCTGAAAGCCGAAAGGAAACGAATAGTGCGACTAATGAAATCTATAGGTAGGAAACCACCAACGCTTGATATTAGTAACAACAATGAAATGCACAACCAGAAGAACATACACGCACTCCAACAACTTCATTCGCGGCTCTCATGCGAGACTCCTCAATTTGACGACCAACTTCCTTCTTATGTATTTCAACCAGTTTCTCGTACTGTTGCGCTGTTGGTAAAGACACCAATGAGGACATGATGCTCTAAAAATGCTAGTCAAGTGATCACTAACACAGTTCATGACAAATCCAGCGGATATCAACTTTTAGAAGAAAAAATAGGAAGCTGCCAAGTTTGAAAAGACTTTTAAAGCGTCAGGGAAAAGGAGAGTATACCTGCAATGTTTGCACACATGCGAATCGAATGTTCTTCCTAAGTTGAGCCTCTTTCACTCCGCAGTTTTCATTTTCTGCTTCAGCAACAATACTCTGACTAGAACACAGCCATATATAGTGCTAGTTTTGAACGAAAGTATTAGTACCACTACCGAAATTCTCTTCCAAAAAGAAGAGCGGTAACATTTCAATGATAAGCTTACTTCTACTTTACCTTAAACTGTCGATATCACGTTGTTTTTGAAGCAGTCGACTACGAAGTTGCTCAGCAAAGCTGCTAATGCGGTACATGTTCTCCCTCGTGTAGACAAATATCAGTAGACGTTTCTGAAGTAACGCCGAAATATAAAAATCTGTTGCATCGCTCCAGACCAAGAACACTGTTACACAATTTCAGCTTAGGCCACTCACTGCCATGGTTCCGACAGTTACTTATCAATGACTCGGAGTGATCGTCGTAGAGAAATGTTCAAAATGCGGCATGTCGTTCGTATGTGATTGGTCTAACGTGATCTTCCTTACAAAACCAAATGATTTTCCGAGCCGAGAGAACACATCGCACTGCCCAAGGAAAAAAAAAAACTAAAATTATACCGGTACATACTTGATGCTGTCGGACATCCGCGTATAACTCGGTACCATCGCCGATGCCTCTGCAATCATTCGATCCAGAGTTTCGTACTGCTCGGCAAGAGCAGGAGGGTTTCTTTGTTCCATCATCTGTTCCCGTCGACTCAAATCCGCCATACATGATCCACAAACTCGCAAACATTCTTGAGCATCCTTCAAAAGCCAGGCTTTCGCCAATAAAACATTTTAGTTCAGAAATTAACCAAATGCAGGCAGAACTAAACAAGTATTCCATGGCGAAGTTAAACCGACATAACCAAGGCCCGAAACACCCACAACGGTCACTCGTATAGAGAAACACCACCATCCATCAGCACGTCACGACACCAGCCCGTGCACTTAACAACAGTGACGGGTTATCAGGCGACCGTTGGTCTACCTGCTGGAGTAGGGAGCCGAGACTGACTTCACTGCCATCCGTCGTCTGGATCTTGGAAACGGCTCCTTCAATGAACGAGATCACCTTTCCGGTCGTTTTCTGAGTCATTTCCAACAATCGGCGACTATGTGACGGTGATGCTTCGCAGTGTGAACGCGTCATGTTCAGCATCTAGCAGCCAAAGCGGATTGTCAACAGTATTCCCTGAGAAAATGACACATGAACGGGTATGTTTTTTTTTTTCTAAAAGTAAACACATGATCAAGTTGCGATTTCACTCGGAACAAAAGAAGTGGCGTGAAGGGGGACCTATAGTGGAGAAAAAAAGAAAGACGAACGCTTTCCAATGTCTACAGAGACTACAAGAGGCAGACAGTAAGATAAGAGATACTAAACACAAGAAGAGGGAAAAGAATGGTAGAAGTGTGGGTATGGACACGAACTAGAACGGATACAACCTCCGAAGTCACTTTACGGGCAGCCCCAGACGCCGAGTGGAATCCCATGGGTATTATTAATTTTTCCTGTCTCTGTTCATGCGGCCAAGTCAGCGTATCCTGTGTGCTTAAAAATCCCTCTACCTTACTCGGACTGGGCTTCACTCCAGAGCCCTAATCGTGGAGTGTGCCTTCAATATTGCAATCATACAAAGATATCTTACTAGCTGAGAGAAACGAAAGAAATTGACTGCACTGATGACACATCACTCGTCCGCAAAGCCGGCAGTGATGCCGTCGACGTGCGATGCTGAACTTAGCAGCACATCGAGTACAGTGCAACGATTCAGAATCGGCAGACCATGGAACAACCTCGCGTTCAAACTCTAAACAAAATCATTCTAGAAAACATAGGCAAAATAAGCAGCAAAAAATATGCCTTCTACCTTTCCTCTTCGAAGGGTCACACGGGCACTCATTGATAAGTCGATCGAGTCGTATAATGAGCATATTCGTCCTAACTGCACTCTCATTTACTGAAGAGTCACGAATTTTACGAAAATACTCTGTTTGTGATCGCGTAACCCCTGAAATTAAATTTGATGGACACCTTTGAAAAAGCAAAAGCACGAATTCCACACCTATTTCGGCTCGCACAGGTGGGGGCCGAACAATGGCAGGAGGACGGGCAGGCCTTGCTTTTTCCTGTACAGCCGATGCCATGGATGCCAGATCGGCAACACTGTTCGAAACCCCGATGTTCACCTGCAAACGAACAACTGACAGCTACTGGTGATTCACCAAATGCTACTGGGTTGCCCGGAAATCGAAGGCGCTCCTCAGATGACTTTTCATTCCAAACTTTTTTCCCCATTCTCATCTTGACAGCGCTTGGATGCCACTTTCCCGGAACCTCGCGGTTTCAGTGCCAAAGCTATCGGCCGCTGGGGAGCGGCAAAGGCAACAGAAGCGGAGTCTTGTCGTAAAAAAGGCATCTTCCATTTCTGCTTCCTCTTTTTCTTGACATTCACATAAACGACCGTGAGCGTGCGTCCACTATCAGTGTCCGCTTCCCAACCAAAGAGTGGCACATAGTAAGCCCATCATGTGGTGGGTCTCTCGTTTTTGTTGCCCGTGTGGTTCTCATCCAGGGGGGAGTCGAGAAGCAAACCAATTTTTGTTCATGGTGACAATTCGTCTAAGGTCCTCGAACTACCGCAAACATAGGTCCTACAGTTAATTAAGGTATCTAATGAGCTAACCATAAAACTCTAGTATTCAAAAGTACATTCAGTGAAGATGTCCTATATAGTGGAACAGCCGC